TTGGACTGTTTAGGGTTGTTGTATCTCTTGGTTCAGTTTTTTTTTTTTAATTTATGTTAAAAAGAAAAGAATTCAAAATAATAGCAGGTTAATACATTGCTTATTGTTTTCTGTAGTTACTCAGAGTGCAAGATTATTGGCATTTAATTGTCCAAACAATATTAGCGTAAACCTTTCTTTTCAATGAACTAAGAGAAATTAATAGTTATAAAGCTTTTTTTTTTTTTTTTTTTTGCTTTTCCCTTCCTTATTTTCTGTATTCCTTGATCCCAATTTCTCTTCCTTTTGAAATTTGTTCCCATTTTACAACCTGTATTCTACATTTTGGATCTTACTTACTCTTTCAGCTTTTCATGGTAGGAAGACAATACGATGTTTACACATGTGCGTCTAGTTTATTTCACTTATGAGTATGGTCTCAAGTTGCATCCATTTCCCTATAAAAACCTCCAGTTTATCCTTCTGTCTGATTGAATAGTGCTCCATTGTATGTAAAAAAATCTTTTTTATTCATTCTTTGGTTTATGGGCATTTGGGTTGTTTCCAGGATCTAGCTATTCCAAATTGTGCTGGTGTAAACACAAATGCACATATATCGCCATGGTACAATGTTTTGAAGTTTTCTGGGAAGAGACTCAGAAGGGGAATAGCTGGGTCAAATGGGACCACCAATCCTCGTGTTTTGAGGAATCTCCATACTGCACCAGTGTACACTTCCAACAACAGTGGAAAAGGGGTCCTTTTCCCCCCCGATAGCCTCTCCAGCATTTACTTTTGGTTGATTTCTTGAGGGTAGCCATTCTTTCCAGAGTAAAATGGAATCCCAGTATTGTTTTGTGTCTCTCAAATGGCCAGTATTGGTGAACATTTTTTCATATATTTATTTGCCATTTGTTTTTCTTCATCTGAGAAGTGTGTGTTCCATCATAGATGCCCATTTTTGGATTGTAGTTTTTATTTGAAATCTTTCTAGTTTTTTTAAAATGTAAGCTCTCATTTCTATAAAATTTCCTTTTTAGTATTGATTTTACTGCAATTTACATGTTCTAGGTTGTCTTCCATTTTCATTTCTTTCAAGCAATTTTTAAATTGCCCTCTTATTTCCTCAGTGACCTAGTGTTCCTTCAAAAGTATATTGTTCAGTTTCCATGCATTTGTATAATTTCTAAAATTTTGTTATTGATTTAGAGTTTTATTTCATTTTTATCAGGAAAGGTACAGAGTATGATTTTAGTTTATTGTTTAGTTTGTTAAAACTAATTTTGTGGCCTAATTATGTGGTCTGTTCTAGATAATATTTGTATCATTTGCTGATAAAAAGAATATATTTTGTAGCAGTTGGATGAAATGTTACATAAATGTTCACTAAATCCACTTAATCTGCAGTATAAGTTTTAGTGCGATGTATCTTTGTTGATTTGGCAGGGGAGGTTGGGATGATCTATCTATTGGTGAGCATGGAGTATGGAAATATACCCGGAGCACTACGGCATCGCAGCCTGTATCTCCCTTTAGGTCTAATGGTGTTTACTCTATGTGCGTGGATGTACTATCATTAGGTACATGTACAATCTCCATATCTTCCTGTTGAATTTGATTCCTTGCTCAATATACAGCGACCTCTACGTCTCTTCTTACTATTTTTATCGTAAAGTTTACTTTGTCAGATAGAACTGTAGTTACTTCTTCTTGTTTTTGGATTTCATTGTTGTGGTATATCATTTCCATCCTTTCATTTTCAGTCCATGTATAAAGTGCCGTGATGAATTTCATGTATGCATTGGTCTTGTGTTACTTATGCATTCAGTCAGTCTGTATCTTTTGAATATTTAAACTATTTATATTCATAATTAGTGATAGCAAAGAACTAAATATTGTCATTTTATTGATTTTTCTCTAGCTTTGAATATTCCTTTTACTTCCTCTGGTTCATTTTTGTGTTTTGCTCCATTGGCAGTTTGTTTTGTCTTTTGTATATCCACTTTGCTAGCAGATGTTACACTTTCACATGCTTTCATGGTGGTAGTAATCTTTCTTTCACTCTGGATGTAGGATTCCCTTAAAGTATCAGTTGTGGGGCTGGTCTAAATGTCATGAATTCTTTCCATTCTTGCTTATCTTGGGAAATTTGTTTATGAAGATGGCCTTGGTAGGCATAGTAATCTGGGTTTGCAGTTACTTTCTTTCCAGACTTGCAATATGTCATTGTATTCTCTCATAGTCTATAGGCTTTCCACTGAGAAATCGCCTCTTAAATTGATGAGGATACTCTTAAATGTAACTTAGTTCTTTTGTTTTGCAAATTTAAAATGCTTTTTTGACTATAATATGCCATGGTGAACAGTTCACTTTTTCTTTACTAATTGAACTAATTCAATTCTTGGTCTTGTACTTTTGACCATTTGTCTATAATATGCCACGGTAAACATTTTACTTTGTCCTTAGATGTCTCTCCCACGATTAGGGGATGTTTCTGCTTGTGTTTCACTGAGTAGGTTTTCGGTCCCTTAGCTTCATTTTCCTTGCCTCAGGTGTGCACACAGCTGGCCACACCCTAGGTTTCAGAGGGCAGGCGCTGGGCTGTCTTGGCTCTGGAGGTGGAGCTCTTTGTACTCCTCTCTGTAGAGAACCGTGCCTACCCTGACTGGTACCCACAGGTTTACATCACAGTCACTTTGTTGGGCCACACTGGGGCAGCCACCATTTAACCAGTACAGTGCAATGCCTGTGCATTCCCAGAGCTAGAAATTTGCAGGGGTTCTGAACCTTACGGTTGTGTAAACTATGACAACAGCTTCTCGAGATGGTTTCTGACTCTGGCACCCTGAGTGCTTACTGGGAGATGATGTAGACCCTCCCCCAAAACAAGGCTACCCTGCACATTTCAGTTTAACTGTGTAGTGACAGCAAGCCTGTGAGGATTGTGAAGCTTCTCAGCAGCTAGGGTCATCATCTGCACTGATGGAATTTGTGTGGACTCTTCATCTTGCAGAGGGAGGACTCCTCTCCTCCTAGCTGTGAAATCAGGGAGGCAGAGGTAGGGATATTGTTTCTCTTACTATGCTGCTGTCCCAAGCTGTGAGTCTTACATGATTCTTGGTGTGTCTTCTGCTGATTTTAGTGTTCTCCGAGTTGCTCAACTCCCTGTGCAGTTGTTTTTCTCTGTGCTGGGTGTCTCTATTTGGCCGTCTCAGATCTCTCACAAAGGATGGTTTCTGCTGATTGTGAATCACTGTTTCACCATTGTACAGCTGAAAATCCTAAGTCAAAGCATTGTAAGTCAGGCACCATTAGATTAGTAGAGTGGGAGGAGGTGGTTGATTTGTTGATAGATTTTAATGAATGGGCTGATGTGCAAATCTGAAGTCTACAGGGCAGACTCTCAGGTGAGAACTTGCAGGAGTTGACTTTGAAGTCTTGAGCTCAGAGGCAGTCTGGAAGCAAATTCTTCCCTCTGGAGGACCTCAGTCACTTCTCATGGATGGCCTTTGAGGTCCACCATTGTTATGGAGGCTGATGTATTTTATTTAAAATCTATTAATTTAAGTGATAATCCTGTCTAAAAGCGTAATTTCACAGCAACATCTAGCCCATTGCTTCTATTGGACAATTGCACAAGGTAAATGCTTTTGGCTTTGCATAATGGATTTCTGGGAAGTGCATTAGTTACATGCAGTATAAGTTTAGTGTCTGTGATCCAAATGTGCAATAATCATTTTATATTAGTAGCTTTACTTAAAAATGTGGACCTTACCCCATTTTGTTTTTGCGTTTTTCTTATCCTATTTTTAAAAATGAGAAGAGAGGGTTAGTAGTTTGACACAGAGCATGGGAGAGCCTGGGTACTGAATCTGGTTGTACACTTTTTCACTGTGTTACCCTGTTTGTTTGTTATTGGTATAAATAGTGGTCATGTGAAAGCTGTCACCTTGGAAGAAACCCAACAGTTTGTAAGTTTATGAATGATTATATAATACTGGTTGATGAGTCGAAAGTATCTCTTATGTTGTTAGATTGTTAAAAAAAAAAAAAAAATGAATAGTGGAGTTTCCTTATGCTGCCTGCCTCTGTCCCTGAGGCTTCCTTGTTTCACTGTAAAGCTTTGCTCTCTGTCCTGCCTCCTTTGAGTCTCTGCCAGACACAGACAACAGTAACTTCCCTCCCTCAGATAGCTGATTAAATCACCTGTGCTTGTCTCATTTGGTTGATCTGCGTCTGTTTTCACAGGAGCTGAGTGGCTCCTGTCATTCGTAGCCTCGCTTCCCACCACTTTGTGTGAGGTTCCCATTCACCCATGCCTTCATCAATGGTATTGTCTGAATTTTAAGCCTGTGCCAGTCTAGGAGTAAGCAGGTATTTGCTGTTGTTTTCACTTGTATTTGCTTGATTATTAGTGAGGTGGGGCCATTATTTGAGACATTTCTTTCCAGAAGTTCTTAAAGGGTTTATAGGAAGTAAGTTACAGTGTTAGAAGTTATGGTCTTGTCCAAAGCATACTGTCACTGAGCAGGATTTGGAGGTCTCATGCATCTCAGTAGTTATTTTTTAGTCTCAAATGCAAATGGTATATAATGTCTACTATAATATACTTCCTGCCCAATACATTTTTTTTCCTTTTGGGATCCTTTTTGGACAGACTGTCTATAGGAACAGTCACTTTTCAAAATGTACAGGGATGCAGATATTTAGCTTTATTTGTTTCTGAAGATAGGAAAGTATCCTACTTACAATTTGTAAACAAGATGAAAACTGGAGCCTCTCAGGTAGTCGGTGTAGTTCTGTGTAGGTGGCCTCTCCGGCCCCAGGTCACCTGCTGTGCTTGGTGAAACCCCAGGAAGAGGGGTGGGGGAAGTCACGGAGGCCTCTAGGCTACTGTGGTATCTTGGCACAATTTGATGAATCCCATCTTTTATTACTTTCAGCTCCAGTGAGGAAAGGCAACTTCAAAGATTCTATAGGGCTTTGAGCTAAATGTATTCTCCTCCTTTGATCTTGTGCAGGCAGGAATTTGTGGATGCTTACGTGAATTATGTCTTCCAAATCTCAGTTCATGAATGGTACACAGCCTTTGCCAGTGGCTTCCTGAAGGTGTGCGGTGGCAAAGTACTCGAGCTCTTCCAGCCTTCAGAACTAAGGGCCATGATGGTGGGGAACAGCAACTACAACTGGGAAGAGCTAGAAGCGGTAAGCTCAGTGCTGTCTGTCGTCTTTCAACCCCTGGTGCACAGCAGAGACCTGAGAAGGTGCGCCTGGGGCCTGGCCTCCTTCAAAGCCAACTGTGACTGAGCAGGATGTGGGAGTCTCTTGCTCTCTGGAGTTACTTTTCAGCCTGAAGTGCCCATGGTGGACCCTGTCACTGTAATACTATTCCTATTCTGTACGGTTTTTTTTTGTTTGTTTGTTTTGTCTTTTTCGGACAGACTGCCATCTACAAGGGTGATTATTCAGCCTCGCATCCCACTGTGAAACTATTCTGGGAAACATTTCATGAGTTTCCACTGGAAAAGAAAAAGAAATTCCTCTGTGAGTATCAGTCTCAGTATCATATTCGTCTATATTTTAGTCTAGTCTTACACGTAATGCAGGATGACAGAATTAATTCTCCAGGTAAGGTATAACTCTTAAATGGTACAGAGTAGTTAAACATACTTGTTTTTTATCATAGTCCTCTGAGGCACAACATAGATTGTATCCATATCGTCCACCAACAGGAGGGGCTGCTTAAGAGGAGAAAAGATCCATTTCACTGATTTTCACTCAGTTTAGAAGTAATACTATTGTGGGTAGGTGTATTGACATGCATCTGTAGTCCCAGTTTATGAAGAGGTTGAGGCAGAAGAATCTCTTAAGCCCAGGCATTTGAGGCCATCCTGGGCAGCATAAGGTTGTGTCTGTAAATAATTAAGTAAATAAAGTAATGATTGTATATGAAAGTGATTACTTTAAGTATTACATTTGCAAAATGAAATTGTTTGGATTAAGCTCTCTTATTATCTGTAGCCTTTATTGTAGAATGTCCATAGTAGGTAGAGCTGGGGAAGGATGACTGACCACAACTTTATTGTGATGTAAGTCACATACCGTACAGTTTACCATTTAAAGTATACAAATTAGTGAGTTTTAGTACATTCACATAGTTGTGGAACTATTTTAATCAATTTTGGAATGCATTTTGTCATCTCATGAAGAAACTCCACAGCCATGAGCAATTGCTCTTCCCATCTCTCTCCCTCAGATCTACCTAGCGTTGGTCCTTGTGGTTTGTCTCTTCTGGACATTCCCTGTAAAGAGTGTCACGCAGCATACAGTCCTTTGTAGCTGGCGGGATTACAACAGAAAAGGGCAGTGCCTTCAGAAAGGAACTGTTTTTAAAAACAGTCAAAATCTTTCTCTGTTTGTGTCTTATATAATCAAGGTCAGGAATTAGCTAGTGTATATGTAGAGTTCTTATCCACATCAGCACAGGTTTTACTGTATAAAACTGAGCATATATTATTCCTAAAGTGGGACTTTGCCCAGATTCTGCTGCTTCTGTGACTTTAGTCAGAAGCTCTTCGTAGGGGCCCTGCTTCCCCGCTGCCCCGCTGTGCTGCTGCTGAGAAGAGGTGGTGTGATTGGTGGCAGGGTTGGGTTTGGTGATGAGCTCATAGAGCTATAACAGTCAAAAGAAGCCTAATCCTGGCCTTGGGGATTCCTTAGAAACAGATACTTCCTGTTAAGAGACCGTTAGACTAGAGAAATATTTGTTAATTTAGGGATTCGGTAAGATTGTGTACTATAGCCTCAAGTTATTTAAAAATGCCTCGTGGCTAATAATTCTGTTATAGTAACATGCAGCAGTCCAGCTGTGAGTGTTGCCCAGCAGTAAGGTAAGGGGAAATAGGTGTGTCTGTCTCGGTTATGGGGGCTTTTCTTTATCAAGTCAACAGTGTATGTCACAAGAGTGAAATGCCTCATGCAATGTCTGGGTCGCCTCTTCTAATTTATAAACAGAGAGGGGGGGGCGGCGCTAAAGGGGAAACTCAGCAGCTAAGGTAGTCCATATCCCAGCCGTGTTAGTGCAAGACCTGAACGTCACAGAGATTTAGTCTTTTTCCTACTTTTCCTAAAGGCAAATACATTTTCCTATGTCAGTAATTTCTTTCTCTTGGATTTTATGAAAAATTATAAAATTTATAACATAATTTGACTGGGACCATTTTTATTTGAGGCCATTTTGGGATATCCTCCTTCCGTTGGATAGGTGCTGGCATGTGGATGTCATTATACTTCCGCAGCGAGCCACAGGGTGTCACCTTCTTCTGTGTTACTCGCAGGGCCTCTGACATCAGAGCCTGTTTGCAAAGCTGTTCATGCTGTCTCCTTCTCCCTGCAGTGTTTCTGACTGGCAGCGACCGGATCCCCATCTACGGCATGGCCAGCCTGCAGATCGTCATCCAGTCCACAGCCAGCGGGGAGGAGTATCTGCCCGTGGCTCACACTTGCTACAACCTTCTTGACCTCCCCAAGTACAGCAGCAAAGAAATTCTGAGTGCCCGGCTGAGCCAGGCCCTCGACAACTATGAGGGTTTCAGTTTGGCCTGAGGCCCTCTAGCTTGTCCCACGTGTCCCTTCCTCCCTCAGTGTCCACAGTGAGGCCTGTAAAGAAAACCCCAGGGAGTGATTTCTATTTTTCTATTGTCTAAGTGGGTTGGGGCCTTTGAATCCTGAACCTGGCTGAGGTGTTTCTGGGGTTGTAAGTAGTTAACAGCCTTTTTGGGAATCAGGTGTTGGGGATAGGATGAATATCGGCTCTGGTTTGGGAAATGGTTTTTAATTTGGTTTTTGTTTTAGACCAACTACCCAGTGTTTGTCACACTTGTGACTTGTTGCTCTCTGCTAGATAAAATGGCAGTAGGTTTTACACTTTCATTTCCCAGGTGTCTGCTCACCCGGCGTTTCCCCACAGTGCTCTCTTGTCATCTCTTGACTTCTCGTTCCTCTACCCGAGTGACCCTGTCTACCCCTCTCACCCGCGCAGGCAGAGCCCCTCCTTTCTCAGCAGCCTTGGAACTGCCTGGCCTCCCGAAGTCCTACAGTAGCCAGACGGAGGAAGGGTCTGCTTCAGAAGCCTGCAGTTCCAGAAAGCTGAGCTGGGGCAGAGCCCTGGAGAGTTTCCTGGAGACTGTGTTTTTAGCCAGGTACGGAGGCGCGGGCCAGGATAATCTCAAGCTGCTTCTCAGGCTGTGTGGGAAGCGGAGGCAGGTGAATCACATTAGGCCAGTCAGTGCAACTTGGTGAGATTTTGTCATGAAATTTTTAAAAAGCGCTGGATATGGAGCTCAGGGGTAGAGCACTTGCCAAGCATGTGCAGGACTCTGGGTCCCACACCAGTACGGAAAAAAAATAACTCCCAAGGGAATGGCAGCCTCTCCCGGGGGTGCTCACTCCTCCTCAGAAGACTTCAGAACAGCTCAGGGTTGTACTTGAACCAATGTTTTGCTGCTCAGCCATGTCCCTGACAGATTGATAGGCCTCTCACCTGCTCTGTTACCTCTTTTTTGGAGCAAGTTACATAAAATTTTTAAAGAATCTCTATTTTTCCCAAGAAAAGTAGAAGGAATATGTTTCTTCTCCCTGTGTCACTTTGTGTCCTCTACCCTCTTCTTGTCCCTTGTCTCCTGTGTCCCCCCTCACCTTCCTGCCCTTACCGTCCCTCTCTGTCCTGTCCTTTTTACTTAATCACTTGTCTTCTCTGCTAGATGCATGATGTTTTTTAAATTTTTATTTCAATTACAGAATTTTGACTTAGATTATTTTCTTTTTCCCTAATTATTAAGACCTGTGGACTTTCTCTGTCATGAAATTTTTGTTTATCATACATTTGAAATGTTTGTTTACAGTGGGATTGCAAGGGGAATTGTGTTTAAATTAAATATGGGTATTTCAAAAATGACATGTTCAATGCTCTTCATCATGGGATAAGAAAATTCTACAAGATTAAGGAATCTATGTAAGCCTGATTTTAAATTCCTAGTTCTAGAGAAAAGATTTATTTATATAAAATGAAGTATTTATGGACTGTGATACAGTGTCAAATCTCAATGAAGGACTGTAGATTTTTTGCTTTTTCTTTTTAAAACTTATTCCAGTTGCTAAATTGGTAGTTTTTCAGCCTTTATAAATACAAGATTTAAAAAGATACACTGTTATATGAAATGTTTATTTTATATGTGTGTGCATATAGATCAATATTATGCAATAAATTTGGTGTTTTAACTTAAAGCCGTTTCTCATTGTATTTGCAAACAGACAGCTTGCTTTCAGAAGCAGTGTTAGGTCTTTTACCCAGACAGCCTAAAGAAGGTCAAACTCCTGCCATCAGTTCCTGCCATCAGAAGGCAGACCGGGTGCTCTGGGAGCGGAGAGGAAAGCAGGGGCGAGAGAAGACAGCGTGAAGAAGGTGGGGTTTCTGCACTTCCCGGAGAAGGGAGTGGCCTTAGCAAAGGCTCAGGCATGGATGCAGATTTAGGAAAGAATTTGGAGTAGTTTGAAGGGAAAACAGAAGAATGGTGTATAAGATGATGGGACAGAAGGTAGATTTGGACCTGAGGAACCAGGCTTAGCATTCGAACTGTAGTGAAGAGCTGAGGATTTGTTCAAGAGCTTGGAACGTGGGAAATGTATACATTCAGAGAAATCAGAATGGGAAGGACTGAAGCAGAAAGAGAAGCCCAGAGCAATCATAATCACGGTAGTGGAACTGGAAAACAGTAGGTGGACAGCAGAGAAGAGGACAAAACAAAGGCGAATCAGAGGTTCACATAATGAGGACCCTGAGCCTGCTACTCAGTGCTGTGCACCAGTGGACTCAGCGGAGCATTTGTAAAACCACTGTGATGTGTATTGTTTTGCCAGATTAATAGGCAGCTTAAAAGTAGTGAGGAGAGCAGTAGCTTTCTAATCTCGTCAACAGAGGTACATCGATAACTCAAAGGTTGAAGACCAAGAAATCTCCTCATGCTTAATTTTGTTAGAAATAGCCATATTACCTTAAAAACGTGGAGGCTTCAGAATCCTCTTCCATGCAATAGAGACTGGACCAGATCATTTCTAAGGTCCTTTGAGTTGTAAAGTTGTAGAATTCCATTACTGACCATAATACTTGCCTGCGGGGACCCCAATAAATATATCTGTGTGTTTGTTATATGAATGAAACTCTGTACTGCTTCTGAAACACTGTGCTTTTTCTGGAGTAGTTTCCTTTTCCCCCCGCTTCGTTACTTTTTGCTTTAGGAGAGTCTACTTTTCTGGATATTCTAAATGTTCTACAAATCCACTGCTGGACTTTTCCCGCTGTGAACCTTTGGATATCCTTTCAGTGTCCTGATCACTTAGCAGTTTAATGAAACCCTTTGGCAGTTTTCTTTTGGTAGAGGGATTCATGAAAGTGTAACTTGGCAGTTTAGCAAAATCTCTCAGTTTCACTCACTCCGCGTGAGTCTTTCCGTGACTTGTGTGGTATTCTGTTAGTAATTGTAGAAATCAAGGGCCTGCAAACTACAACCCTTGTTACAGTTTACAGTTTAAAAATGGTTGGAAAATGCTTTAAAAAAGAAAAAGGACAGAGACTATTTGGCCTACTAAACCTAGATATTACTATCTAGACCTTTTCAAAATTTTTTTTTCCAAATCTCTGTGAAATCAAACTTGTAGGAATTATAGTAACAGAGTAGGTAACTTCAAAATCTTGTGATGAGCTTGTTGTAATTTGCTACTGAACCAGAGAAGACAATTCTTTTGGCTTTTTGGCCATGTAGGTAAGAAAATCACGCTTTGTGTAAGACAAATGCACAGAAATGGACACTAAGATTCTGATTTTAGTAATGATATAACCTGTATTGATTGCTTGCTTGTGCCAATATTTACAATGCACTATCCAGTTTAATTGCCGCCACAGCCCTTCTAGCACTGCTGTTTTCTTAGCTGTGTGATCTTGGACAGGTTTCTTAATCTTTCTGTGCTCCATTTTCTTCCAATTCAAGATAGGGACAGAAGTATTACCTACCTCATGGGATTCATATAAGGATTAAATGAATTCATAGGAAGAACATTTGTATGCCTGCACATAATGAGCCTCAGTAATTATGGTTATCATTGTAATTCCAGGTTTTTTACCTGAAAATAAGTTGCTCATTACCACAAAGTGGTAGGCATCAGACTTGACCGTAACCTGACCGTAACCTGAATTATGCCCCACTATTAGGCCTGGGCAGTACCTTTGACCGAGGCTGCAGTCAATACAGAGGAACATTGTGATGTGGCAGGTGACTTCATTGATGACACAGAGACATCACAGTGAGCTGAGTATTTCACTGGCAGTCTGCAGTTCAGTAGTGATGAGGCTCCTGTCATCTGCACTGGATCTCAAGTGCAGCTGAGAGTCACTAACAGGGTTGACTGAGCAATGGGGGCCCAGGTATGCCTGACACCCTCCAGTGGGAGGACAGTTCCTCTTCATCCTGCCCACGGTGCCAGTGGGCCCCATGTGGTCCGACTGTATGGAAGCCCAGACTTCACATGTGAAGCGAAGCATCAGGAGCTGGGGCTGTGGAAAGTGATTAGATCCAGGGATCGGGCAGAGCCCTCCTGAGTGGAATTAGCATCCTCAGGAAGAAAATCTCAGAGAGGTCCTGCTGTGGGCAAGGCACAGAAGACAGCCCATGAGAAAGCAGGTCTACACACAGCGGCACTTGACTTTGGACTTTCCAGCCCTAGATTCCTGAGATGGAAACCCAGTCTGTACTGTATTTTACAAAACAGAGGTGAAACAGCTGCTTTTGTATCAGGTGATTGTCTTTGTAGAATATTTCTTTTTCAGAAAAAAATTTAAAAATTTTGATTTTTGGATAATTTCAGATTTATAGGAAAGTACTAAAGATAAAAGAGTTTTATGTCTGCATGTCACTGTGGTACGTTTATTAAAACTATGCCTGTAATTCCAGCACTTGGGAGGCTGAGGCAGGACAATTGTTGCAATTTTTGAAATGAGCCTGGGCTACAAAGTGAGCTCAAGGCCAACCTGAGCTGCATAGCAAGATACTGTCTTTTAAAACAAAGCAAACAAACAAAAACATATAGGGAAATGAGTGTTAACTAAATTCCAAACATTTTACCAGTGTTGCTATTGGTATCTTTTCCCAAGGTTTGATCTGGGATCCCACGTTGCATTCAGTGCAACAGGATTTTAGTTAAGTGTTGGGATCCCAAACTTTGCCTTTGATTAGGTCTGGGAGCAGGTAGAATAGGTATAAGGGAGACAAGAAACATTGTAATTTAAAAAATTGTATGTTTAAGGAAAACCACAGCCTCAGTACACTAAAGTTACTTGCTGTTACAATGCCTTTTTTGTCTTCCAGGAAACTAAAACAACAACAACAAAAAAAGCCCTGCTCAGTCTTGAGGCTACAGTAAGTCTAATCTCAGCCCATGCTTTTCACCTGTAAATTCTGTCTGCCCCGGACGTTTTCTCTGTTAGACACTGTGGATTCCTTAAGACTTTCTTCGGCTACTCATCAGCACCATGGGTCTAAATTTGAAACACGCACAGATAGTGCCATTCTAACCTACCCTGAACAGTCTGACGGACTAGGAATACACATGTTAGATCTTGCATTTTGAGGCCCACCACGCCCCACATCTGAGTATCCCCAGCCCCCCCGGACCGTGTGCGCCTCTCTTTTGAGGGAGGCCCACGTCTCACTTCTCTGTGTGCTGCTTTAACTGTCCAGTGAAGTCCGTCAGGGCCTCTTACCAATGCATCCTAAAAATCTTCTCTGTGACAAGTCAGCAAACCTGTACCCTGCTCCGTGAGTGGGCTGAGTTGAACTCTACACCACCTTTTTGGGGTGATCTCTGGGGTTCCTGTCTGCTGACAGGCGTGCAATTGTCCTGTGCCATCGTCTCTGCCCCGGGCAGTTGTGCAGTGAGTGCACTTCCCGCAGAGGGTACAGGGAAGGTCCTCTCAGGACTGGCAGGTTATCTGGCCACCACATGGGTCCTGGAAGACGGTTGGCCCTTGGCAAGCAGCTCTGTGTTCTCAGAAGCAGGCACAGTTGACCTTCAGGTTTTAGGAGTTGGCCAACGGTGGCATTCCCCATGGGAAAACACCTTTTATGAGAAAGAAGAGGTTTGGGTGTTTGAGTTTTTAAGAAACATTAAATTTTATTGCAGGATTTTTTAGATAATTGTGTGAATCTTTAGGCGGGAAATAGGGTAAATAACACCAAAATGTATGTTTCCACACAATCTTCCACCTTTTAGCAGGTATTTTTGGGGGGGCATAAATGTAGCTTAGTATCAGTTGATTTCTTCTAGAACCATGGTTTGGGATTAACGGGCACGTAGCCATTAACAGGTGACGGGGAAGGATAGGTCAAAGGAAAGCTCATGATAGGACAGGAAAATAGATTTGAAGTGAGACCCAGTAAATAGAATGCTTCATGTCAGGGACATGCATAGGTTAAAAAATTAAAAGCTCATCTGCAGAATTTCATCATTTCCTCTATTGAGAAACTTAACTGATGGATGTCTTAAGTTTTCTTTGGCCCTTAACATGGAACCAAGCAAATTTTGAAGTTCAGTGTCTAAAATGTGTACAAACACAATACTTGTGTGGCCTTTAATAACCTTAGCTCTAGTGAGCAAGTCATCTGGTTCATGAGTGTCTCCACTTCTGACATGTTTTCATGCATGACCTGGTCGTGGCTCCACCTACCTTGTGCTGTGTGGTAGGGGATCAGGACCACAGGGAGCAGAGCCTGGCAGATATGGTGTCTGACCCCAAGCCGTGCCTCAGGTTGCTCACCCAGACTCCAGGACAGGTAGGGGCTGCTGCTCCACACAGAACTGGACGTGACTGGCTGCCATGCCCTTTACTTGTGTACAGGATCCAGGGTACACACTGAGTAGATGCTGATGGGCGTGGCACCCCAGTATGGTGTACCTTTCAACAGCTCCTCCTGTGGAGTAGCCAATCCAAGCTTTGGTGCTTTATTTCCTGCTAGAATTCTAAGAGGGTGTGTACTGCTGCTTACTTATGTGTGGCACCAAGAAAATCAGTTCAGATGCCCCCACCATGCACACCCCGCATGGCTGGAGGCTTGGCAGCAAACACCATCACATGGTCCTCAGATCTTGTAAAGCTGATTTTCCTCAGCCTAATCCCACAAGAGTTAGATACAATTTTTGATAATTATTGAGTCAGCTCCCACTGGTATTGAACT